GGCCGGGAAGTTCCTCCGGGGACGAGCTTTCTGCACAGCCTTAAATTCCACCCCCCCCACCCGCGCTCAAGGGACCCACGGTCCTGCCCCTAACCAAGCAGACCCTGCCCGGGGCAGCCCCCCACCTGTCTGCAGAAGTTTTGTTGAGTTTTGGGTTTCCTGCAGCCATTAGATGTCAGGTGCGCTCATTACTATTACAATTAAGGGCGCTTTTGTTTTTCCTTGGAGAGAAAGGCTCCTCTTTCCGAGCGATGTGTGCCACGCCAGAGCCCACCGCCCCTCGAAGCTACCCGCTCGGCACGGTACCTTTGCAGCGCAAAAAGTCCTCGGGGTGAGGGAAGGAACCCTCTTCGCAGAGCAAGTCGCAGGTTTTATCCGATGCCAGGGGGTAGCCGTTGTCCTCCTCGTTGTAGTCGCTCTTGCCGTTGCTGTTTGAGTAGCCGTTGGCATACATCTTCAGGGCCGACCTGCGGAGGCACAGGAGCTCCTGAAAGGCATACCTGAAGTCCGGGCTCCGGCAGTAGATCAAAGGGTTGAAGGCAGAGTTGACATAGCCCAGCCAGTTCAAGAGGATATACACGTACTTGGGTATGATGTCGTCCTGGATGACGTGCACGATGTTGACGATGAAGAAGGGCAGCCAGCACAGCGTGAAGGTGCCCATGATGATGCCCAGGGTCTTGAGGGCCTTGTGCTCCTTCAAGAAGAACTTGGAGGAACGGCGGTGCCCAGCTCCCCCTTTCTGCTCCTGCTCCTTGTTCTGGGTGTGAAACCTCCCCTCGCTCTTGTCTATCTTCTGCAACTGCTTCTTGGCCACCTGGAAGACCCTGGCATACACGAATACCATGACCACGAGCGGCAGGTAGAAGGAGATGATGGAGGAGGCAATGGCATAGGCTTGGTTGGTGAAGAAGTCGCAACACGTGTCCTTCTCGTAGCACAGGATGGCCTCATCGCGGTCTGCCCGGTACCAGTGCATTTGGATGGGCAAGAAGGAGGTGAGGGCTGAGACCACCCACACCACGAGGATGACCACGCGTGCCTTGCTCTTGGTCAGCAGGCTCTGGTACTTGAAAGGGGAGGTGATGGCGAAGTACCGGTCCACTGCAATGACGCAGAGGGTCTCAATGCTGGCCGTGACGCAGAGCACGTCCAAGGAGGTCCAGAACTCACACCAGAAGTTCCCAAACTTCCACATCTCCATGATGATGTGGCTGGCGCCGAAGGGCACCACGGCCAGTCCCATCACCAGGTCAGCGCAGGCCAGCGAGGTGATGAAGTAGTTGGTGACAGTCTGCAGGCGCTGGAACCGGGCGATGGCAGTGATCACCAGCACGTTGCCGAAGACGATAGCCAGCACAATCACCGACATAAG